TATCGAATTGTCCCCAACATCCAAAACAGTAGTAAACACTGCATGGACCATGCCTGCAAAATCCTTTGGGTGCGTAACAAACCAGGCTCTGTCAGTTAACAGAACAAGGAAATCAGAGTCTGAGCTTGGACTCATGAATTTGAATGGGCTGTTTTGAAGAGAGCTGTTGCACTCTGTCTTTTACAGAGCCCATATGCCAATCCCGCAGCCCACACCAAGAGAAACCATAGGGCTTTCTCCCTCCAATGCTGAGGAATGCTCTGCTCCGTGCTGCTTGGGAAGCTTCATTCATGGCTGGAGTTTCAGCTCCACACAAGCAAAAATAAAAACCCCAAACCTTTAGCTGCGCATTCCTGGACCAGATAAACATGAGGCATTAAGAATGCACATGAAAGAGTGCTCCTTAGGAGTGTTCAGTGCACAGCATTTTGCTTCGTTTTGTGGTTTCCAATCCTCTTCCATCACTCTGCAAGAAAATGAACCCATTGCCTTTTCACTGTTTCTGCAATCCCCAGCGGGTGTCGAAAGGAGTGATGAATAACATCCAACGCTGTCAAACACTTAAATCCCTTTCAAACTCCAGTCATTAGATGACATTATTTCCCAGTATGTTTGGAACTTAATGAAAATGTATCACTGATTTTTAATTTTATTTTATTTACTTTTTTATTGTTCTGCAGCTCACACTGAGAATGAGTTTCTTTTCCTTCAAACTATTGCTTGCCTAGGCTGGCAGCGTGGGGTAGTGGATGTATTTAGTCCAGGAGGCAACAGTACAGAGGCAGGGGTACAGGCACGAATCCTCAGACACCTCACCTAACTCTGCCATCATTTCCCCCATCTGTTAGGTGAGAAAAATATTTTATTTCTCTTCATTATTTGTCCAAGAACATCACCTAAAGGACTTCAATCCAGACCAAGGTTTCATTTCGCTAGATGCAATACACGGGGGCAGGAGGCAAATCACATGCAAGCAGATGACAAGCTATGCAGATAGAGGAGGTTTCGAGAGGAAGCAAAACAGAAATGTCCCACCATGGTCATTTTGCACCGTGGTGATAGCTGGGAGAGAAACGCATCTCCTGAGTCCCTCTGGATGCAGCTGCCTCTGAGAGCTGCACACACGTACATTTGATTTTGATCATCAAAGCAATTTTTTTCTCTAGTCAAATACTCCGTAAATTCTGGTGACCTGCTATTTGCTTTTTTTAAAAACAGGCTCATTACTGTTGGACCAGGTACATCTTATTGCCTGGCACACCTCTCACAAAGTCCTATTTTGCCAAGCAATCTGCAGGAAATTCAGGGTAAAAACCAAGAGTTTCTGGAGGTAGGTGTCTGATTCCAAACAAAGCAATCAGCATTCAATACATAATTCACAGCAGGGACAAAAAATCCTGAGCTTTCATATGCTGCTATTTCCAGTATTTCATTTTCACAGCCTCTGCTGGAAGCTTTCTCTCCAGAGTCACAAAGTTTTCTTGTTAAAAAAAAAAAAAAAAAAAAGCAAACATTTATTTTATGGGCTGAAATTTGGCAGTTTTTTTTTCTTTTTGCTTAAGGCCTTGCTGCACTCATCTCCTAAGCTAGAGTTTAAACAGAATAGTTTAAAAACATCCCTCTAAGTTGGGGAAAATACCTTTTAACAGAGGAGTTGGATGACCACAGCATCTACACAGCAGCCAGGCTGGGGTTCACCGGTTTAGGAACAGCCCCTACTCCCTTTCATGGAACTTATGCTCCTCCATGCCTTCCCTACACAACCTCCTTGTACTGTTACAAGTTGCAGTGGGTTCTCTGCCTCTAAACTTTCCAATGGGTTACTGCAATTTAAAGGTGTGATATGTAAACAGAAAATACATCACAGCTACACAAGAGGATCTCTGTACTTTATACATCACGCTAACAGTTCTGAATTTTACCAAACAGGAGGAAAATATTAATTAGATTTTGTCATAATGCAACTGCAGTTCTACCTACGTAAGGCTGATTCAGCTCCCTCCAAATCAACCACAACACCAGGAGACTGGTGATGAGCACACAGCCACCTCCCAAGCTCAGGTGTTATTTGGTCCTTTCTAAAAATGACTTCCAGCTGGACTTATGAAACACGGTGCCTCCCAGCAGCTCCCATGACAGGAAGCATCCCCAGGCACTGCTGTGCTGCAGTCAAAGATAACAACTCAGCGTTAGAATTTTCTGTTGTTTTTTGATACGTGCAATTTGGAAAGAAAAACAAACAAACAAACAAACAACACAACGGCATTTTAATCCATTTTTGGCCGCGCTGGCAACTCAGCCAGAGAAACTCTCCACGGTGGGCTCAGCCTGGGGCAATGTCTTTGGGTCATGTCTGGGGTTGGCTGTAGCCCCCTGCAGTCTGAAACGTAATTCAGACTCCAAACCTATGAGGAGGACACGAATCCCTCTGCTCCAGGGGCATCTCCCATTGCACCATGTCTCACTGCAATCTGGAGCATGCAATGAGGATCAGAAGAGCTTCTCTCTTTGAATTTATGCCAATGAAGGCGGGCAGTGTTGGGCAAGCCACTCAAATCCTGCTATCACTCCTGCTCCAGCACGAGAGGACAATTTTATAGTTTAGTTTATGTTGCTTTAAAACTATTTCGAAGATCAAAGAAGAAGAAAAAAATAAACCCAACAATAAAATTCCTCTTGTTCCATAAGAGGAGCATCCCCAAGGGCAAGGTATACCTATACAATTATTATAATGCTTTAACTGCATAAGCACAACTGGAAACATCTCCAAAACAAGTTGTGACTCTTATCTTCCTCCACGCAGCCATTATCCTGATAAATTTGGGAAGGTCATTTGAGATGTAATCCAATAAATGCGCTGATGTTCTGAGTAAGTACCTCACAATTTGCAGCCTCATCTATTATCCCACTATAAGACCATCAAATGACTCACCAGTTTTAATACTTAGTACAGATCAAACAAAGAAAAATATCAAAGCTTTACCTTCTAATTCCACCCTTCAAGGACTCATCTGAGTAGTTTTTAATTACAGTAAATGACACATTCAACTCGGGCATTTTCTATTTGTAGCAGCCATAGTTGGGAGTTGCTGTAACTGTACTTTCCATGGGACGTTGCCACATTAACCAATAAATGCCAGAGAGTCTCGTAAGCCAAACACACTGGCTGGCATTTGGGGTGGACAGCACCATCCTGCCGTTCCTGGGTGGAGGACAGATCTCCAGATCCTCAACCAGAACCTCAAGCAAAAAGCCACAGGAACAAACATGTGCAACTGGCAGCACGTGTTGGCGGGCTTGGAAAGTCAGATCCAGTCCCAAAGTTGGGCTGTGCCTTCCGAGGTGCAGTAACTCTAATTATGCTGCAGAAAGCTGCGTTTGAACTCTGTGAATTTTTTTAATAGGATGGGTACAAAATAAAAGCGGGGCAACAATCTGTTCACGCAATGCCAGATCCCAAAGAAAAGAGTATCAGGAAGCAGTCAGCAGTACTGGCAGATCACAAAACTGCAGACGCTCAGAGAATTGGTTACACGAGCTGCGTGTCTCTGCTAAGGCGCTGTGGTGGACTGCAGGCATTGCCAAGGAAAATGGGTGAGTGCCAATCTCTTCCAGTTAACTCTCTCACAGGGTTTTGATGCTGTAAAGTATTTCCCAATACCAGTTTGCATTTGTATCCGCTTGGTCCATACAAACAAAATGAGTGCAGATTATTCGACACAGTGCCTGAGCACAATCATTGTTAAGACTTCTCTCACTCACTGCAACAACAAAAAATACACTGGGAAGAGGACCAAGTGGTATCTGTTGCTCTCTTTGACTGACTGACCCAAATCAGACTGTTTATGTGGATGTTATCTGTTAGCTTATACAGCAATCATGTAGATGCAGCTGGAATGAAGGAAGAGGTTATTGGGCAGCCCCTGCAGAAGGCTGCAACAAGAGCCCCTGCCTGCAGACACCTGGGATGGGCTTGTGCCAACCTTATTCAACACCACTTTTGCTAAGTTCACATATTTAAACACGACCTTAAACCTAAACGGACTCTGGTCACTGTTTTAGTTCTGTTCAAAAGTATCATTTCTGCATTACTCAAAACAAATGCAACAGTGAAAAGAATCGAAAGAGCCACAAAGTGAAGGGATAGCCTGTATGGACAGTGGGTGGGCGTTGTGTCACTCGACTCTCTCTTTGAATAGAATCAAAGGGTTTCAGTCAGAGCTGACAGTAAGGCACACATAGCTGCACAGATGCCTACAGACATGCATACATATAAGAAATGAGACAAGTTATGGGAACAGGACACGAAAGAGCTGCACAGATGGGCATAAACACGCCTGAGGTGATTATCAAGATCACATGCACTGCTCTTCTTTAAGTGCCACCGGGTTTCACCACTTTCTCTGATAAAGACACATCTTACCAGAACATAAGCAGGTGCTACCTGTATTAGTGGCAAAAATTAGGTGACTCCTGCAGTCCTCACACAGACACAGTGGATTAAATGGGAATAGCAACCCACTTTGCTGGGCTACAGCCACCCTGAACTGTGTCATTGTCACTGATCACACCACAAAAACAAACCAACTTGAGATGCAGGTACCTGGATTGTTTTGACAGTGTAACAGATAAAAGTTAACAGAATGGGGAAAGAAATGTGTAGAAGTATTGGTGAACTGAGCAGATTTTAGTTCACAAGCTATTGTTGACAGAAAGTTGGGGCAAAGGAAACGTCTTTTTCTTTGTAAACTTTTTGCTAACGATCTCCAAGGCCAATGAAACAATTGGGATCAGAGGCCCCTTGCTAGGAGGTACTGCAGCTTCTGAGCTGGTGCCCCTTCGGAGCGGCTGCACCCTTCATCCCATTGACAGCTACATCTGGATGCTATCAGGACACACTGGCATGCCTGCTCACACCAAATACCAGGCAGTTAGCAAAGTGACTCAGCAGTTGCTTCTGGCCACTTTCCCACTCTGGGCTTAAGCAACATGCCACCAACCTGTTGGATCCGCGGTTTGTAGGGAGAGCTGCTCTCTAGATCGGCCAGGATGCTGGTGAGGGAGTCGATCTCTGCATCCAGGCTGGAGCGCCTCTCCTCAAGTGTCTTGCCACCAGGATTCACCTTAAAGAAGAAAGAAGAAGAGTTCCAGTTACTCAGACCGTGGCCTGGAACATGGTTTCTTAGTGTCCTCAAAGGGAGCTGCCACCATGTCCCAGCAATAACTCTCAGGTTGCAGGGATTCTACAAACATGTTGAAATGCTACAGCTCTTTCCCAGAATCAGGGATGAGCAGAGAGGCTTCATCTCACAAAGATTTAGGCTGCTTTGAGGCTTTTCTTCATGCATTTCCCACAATGGTCCCATTGTGTTGACTTGGAGGATTATGAAACATGGTAAGCAGTGTGCTGCCAAGGTCTGCACAAGGGCAGTGGAGCTGCAAGCTGAGACCAGCACCCAGCCACCTGCACACCTATTATTACTTTGAATCACTCCATGGTAGCTCTACCTGTCTGATTCAACGCTTCCTTACAATTTCCATCAGTCCCTTGAGGAGTGAAAAAGTTCAATTTATTTCTAGCAAACTCAAAGTGAAGGGCATGATTTGAAATAGGGAGTCACAAAGCAATATAATGGAGGTCCTTGGGAAAGGGGTTATTGTTCAGGGAAATCCATGACCAGAGCAGACATCAACCTATATCCAGGACCCTTTTCAATCGAGTTCACCTTGCTTTCTCTTTCCATTTAAATTGGCCTCTTCCCATTTGCATCAGTATGGTCAGTACATTTGCATGAATGGGAAGAGACATGAATTTCCACCACCATCACCCACCTCTGGAAGCGAAGAACAAAAAGCTCATGGCTCAGTGATGCAGGAGATAAAGTAGTCCCTATGGGACCATAGTAGTGTTCAAGGACCAGTAATGTTTGAGGAAACCAGCAAAGGATCCCCATCAAGTGTGCTGCCAGGAGCTTAACCACCTAGCTACACTTAGGGCAGGCACAGAAGCAGAAGTTCTTGAGTCAAGTGAAATAATACACATTTAAAGTCTTCTCTGAACCTGAGTCATAGTCAATATTTGTCTTCTGTCCTTTCCCATCTGAGTTATCTGCAAACTCCCCAGGCAGAGGCTCTCCATGTACATGCAGCTACAGAGCTCAGTGCAGCTTAACTATTACCATAATAAAAATACAAAAGAATTACATAACATCTCACCTAATTTCAGCTGTAATGCTGGTACAGACCATACCAACACTTCCCCACAGACAATCTAGCTCTGTTTGCCTTCATTCTCACCGAGTTACTTCAATTTTCCAAGCCAAAAATTTTCCTTTCCCTTTGGCTCACTGTCTGCTCCAGATAGGTTTTATTTGAATTTCATTTAAGGAGCACTAGATCATTACCTGTTTTACAGAACTCTCCAGTCATCAAATCCGACACGTAAGCAGCAACCTGGTCAGAGAGACAGCCTATGCAAAGCAGGGAGGCTCTGAGCTGCCAAGCTTATACGTGCTAAGGCATTCATTAGTTCCTAATGATTATTAAATCTTATTGGATTACAATAAATTTGGCTTGACTGACAGGAAAATGAAATCTCCAATGCGCTTTATGCAAGAACACATGATTTAAAAGGCTCAAAGTCAGGTTAGAAACTACTTACAAACTCAATTTTTCTTACTTCTTTTTATTATGGAACCAATCAAAGTTTTTCCATCCAAACTATTGTTCAAAAAATAATTACTTTAGGCAGGAATTGTCCCAGATCATTACTCAAGGCTAGCTGTAGGTATCTGCATTTTTAAACCTGAAAAAGTCTAATTTCCTTTCCATTACTAGCACACTTCATGTCTCTGGCTTGGTTTTCCTCCATCCTCCAATTGCTGGCCTACAACAACTGCAGGGCAGCCACAAGCTTCCTAGATTCAAAACACGAGATTGCTCCGCTCCAGAGAAGTTTTAAGCCAAAAGCCAGTCTGGAAGGAGGGGGAGATGCGAAGGGCACCCAAGGCCCCAGCATCTGCAGAGATAAATCATGAAGCAAGTCAATGACGGAACCGGGAGTACAAGTGGGGCCCAGGATGGGGCTGCTTGGTGCCTGGCTGTGGGACGGCATTGACCCAGGAGAGAAGAGATGGCAGCAGATTAGAAGATCAGCCGATTATATTTCTGCTTCTTAGCATTTCTGTGCCATATTATTCCCAGGTTCTCATCCCCCAGAGCGATTATGCAATAACCGACGAGCAAAGACCGCAGAGCAAGTTGTGAGGTTGTAAAAGTTAAATGTCCTTAGGAAACCTAGAAAAATAAATAATAATAATAATAAAAAAACAAACATGAACATGGAAATATCTCCATTGATTTGGGGCTCTGCAAAAGATTTATTTATTCAATTAAAATATAATAAATAGAGATGAAGAGCTCAATTTCCAAGTGCTGAAGCAGAATGCATTGCAGAATGTGAGGGCCGATGGGGATGGGACCGGACCTCGAGTACCTCTGTGAAACAGCAGTGCTTGCACAGACAGGCTTCTCCTTGCTCTCCATTCCCCATTTCCACAAATCTTGCATTTTTCTCACCACCACACTCCAGTTTCCATCAAGGGATTTATTGCACGTGGGAACAGGAGGAGAATTCGCAACAGCAGAACTTTAGTAAGAGAGGGTTAACTTCTTTCTGTTCTCATGCTCTTTGTCATGACGTCGCTATAAAAGTTTTATGGTATTGCTCTGGAACAGATCCCCAGCGCCAGGTCCCACGGCACAACAGGTCGGCGCAGGCAGGGCTCAGCTCCGAGGAACTGCGCCGGCTGAGCGAACGACTTCGCAAATCCGAACGCTTGGAACCAGAAAGAACCGCTCCTGCTATTTCTGTCGGATTTACTGCATCGCTGCAGTCACTTGTGCACGCTCCCTTTCAGCCAGCAGTATATGGAAAAACGGCTTTAAAAAGGGAAAAGGATGCTATCTTTGGCCTGGCCAACGTGAGTTCGACAGAAAGCAAACATAAACCAACCCAATCCAACAAATTACTCACGCCACAGACTATCCACTCACGTGCATTTCTGCAGCGCCTACACTCCCACCCCCTGGCTCTGTCCCTGCTGCGAGGCAGAAGAGAGAAAAACAGCACTGCCTGCCTTGTTGGCCGCCCCTGAACTCCCGGTGTGCGGCTCCAAGCAGCTGTGAGGGTAATCCACTCCTGCGCCCTGTCAACCCACACTGTTCCAATGAAAACTGGCTTTCATTTCCCTAATCCTACCTCCCAGCACCAGGCAGAGCCACAGGTCCCCTTGCCTCCCCAAGGGAAGCTCTGTGCAGAGCACTCAGTGCAGAGGGCACGCAGGGCCTCGAAGTTGAGCTCACTGCGCTAAAAAAGGCCACAGGACTACTTGTCGAGCTGGAAGATATGAAAAAACACAATGATTTCCCCTGGGGCCCCTTTTCCTACAACCTAGATCACCTAGATTATTACAGTTTGCAAGTTACAGAAGGGATGCAAGGACACTGCTGTTTGTCCACGTCAGCTCCTTGCAATAGGGATAGGGAGAAGAATCTGGCTCCCAGATGTCCCTCCAAGTTCCTGCCCCTAATTCCTCTCCCTGCCCAGACCTAACCTCTCTGCTGTGCTCTGTTTCCCTGTTTCTCCTCACCTCGTCTGCTGCCATGCAGTGCTGCAGCCTGGGACAGTCGTTATCTCTGTGACAAGAGATGTCTGTGGGTTAGGGTTAGGGCACCAGGGCTCACTACAGTGCTGTTTTCCACCACTGAGATCCACCTCCCTCCCATCCACTGGCTCGGCTCAAGGCTTGTCCAAAGCAAGCTGAGTTAAGTCCATTTCATTGGTGTTGGAGAATGCAAGCTTCCCTTGCTGGGAAGTGAGATGCCCTACAGGTATAGATGTATGTTTGGGTGATGCAATGAAGCCAAACTGTCTGAGAGACACCATGGAATCTGGCACTGGCAAAACTTCACTCTGATTTCCCCTCTTCCACCCCTGCAGCTGTCTGCCACACTCTGCAGGCTGTGGGAATCGTCACTGAAGAAAGAGCAAAAGAAAGGGCTCTCCATACAAGGAGCCAGCAGCTCTCCTGGCCCCAGGCAGTGGCCTTAGACAAAGCTGCAGATAGGCAAAGGAGGATGGGGCTCCTATTTTCTATTTTAGCTGAGGGCAAGTGGGAGAAAGGAGACGAAAGATGTTTGGTTTCGATGGCAAACTACCTACAGGAAGAGGCTGTGAGAAATTTTAACCTGGAAGAAGAAAAGAAGTTATTCAGTCTTCACACACTTCAGACTGCTATTTGTGTGTCGTTTTCTTTTACCCTCTCTTTGCACTTTCTCTAACATTACCACTGCCAGGGGCAAGATCCTCTTCCAACACATGCCCTTGCTTCCCCATCCCATCTCAGTTTCCCAGCCTTCCTTCACAACAGTCATGAGAGGCACAAAAAGCCACTGCAGTGGCAAAAAGATGCATCCTCAAGGGTATCCATCATGAAAATGAGGCACCCAGACCATGAGCTGCTGTGTCTGTTCTCTTCTCAGCCTAAAGACAAATGCAAACATTTTGTTTCAAATTCCCTGATGTAAATGAAAGCAGTTGGAAGAGCCTGCCCTACCAAGCACGCACATGGTGACAAGAACTGACTGCAGCATTCCGGACCAGGAGGGTCTAAAATGTTTGACTGATACCAAATCACTGTTTCAGGCACCAAGGAGGGGCTGGAAAAGTAGTCGTGCCCTTTAAAAATAGACAGATTGAGTCTTTTGAAACAAATCCGAAATGATGGAAGATTTCAGCAGATGTGACCGCAGTGATTTCACCAGACGTGATTGTATCAAGGATCTAATAGAAAAGAACTTCCCTGCTGTTCCGTCAGGCTGAAGCCAGGCCTGAAATATCCTTTTTACTCTTTTGATGACATCAAGAATAAAAGCCAAAGGGAAGTTGGGTTTTGATTTATTTTTTTTTCCCTGCTCTTTCTTTTTTAAGGCATGGAGTGGTTTTACCTGATTTGTGTTGCTGGATGCTAGCTGCACCAAAGGAAAACACTTCAAAAGTTTGAAGTGGGCTGTTCAAAGGCATCGCTCGGTGTCTCTCTAACACGAATGTCATCTAACTGAG